GATCGATGCTAAATCTTAGAGTTTGTTGGAAAAAGAAACATGAAGAGAAAAAAGAGTTTGTGTTGTGTTAAAAAAAAAAAAATACTCTGTAAATATAAAGATAATCTCCACTATGACTAAATTGCACTTTAAAAATATAGCCACTAGGAGATACTCTGAACTTGGAATTGAACGCATAGAAAAATAGGGACAAGAAGTAATTGAGGGCAGGGGTCGTGCTCAACATACCAATAATATTTTATGGCTACTATACGAGGGAATATATTAATATTTGGTGAATATTCCATGCACAATCAATTATTTAACATAAAAAAAATATTTGAAGGCTTGAAATTAAACCACTCATTGTATATTGCGAGCATTTCAAATAAGACTAAGAATAATTATTACACGACTTTTAATAATTTAATCAGTAGAATTTAAATAGATATTTTATAGATAAGAAATAATTTCATCAGGATTTATACCTAGGAAATAAAGAACTTCATATTTCTCAAGTAATTTTTATTTGTCACACAATTGATCCTAATCTTCCAAGCTGCCTGAGAAACAAAGAATCCAAATAAATAGTGTAAAAGCAAATATAGAAGTAAAGTAGAAGAAGTAAAATAGGGATCGAGAACACATACATACCTGCCTTATCTAACAAATCGGAAATATCAAGCTTTGGTGCAATTACTGGCCATGGACTCAATTTTCTCATCATACGGCAATTTTCAATGATCAAGTCCTCCAATAAAGGGAACTCAAGTTCACAGTTCTGAGAGCAAAACATTTGAATACTTGAAAGATTCCTGAGTAGTAGACGGTCCAACTTAGGAAACACAACTCTAGTTTTCATTGCTTCAACTATTTGGATCTCTGAAGTGCCTTTTTCTTCTTTTCCAACAATCGCTTTAATTGATTCACAATTTGAAACCTCTAGAATGTTCAGAGCCACAAGAGAATAGGCCATTGAAGGTGAGAATAGGTACTTTAAGATACCACAACCTTTAACAACAATTGATGTCAAATTCTCAAAGACACGATGATCTTTTGGAATTGTTAGACATTCAAAGTCAAACAGCACTTCCAGTGACTTACAGTCTTTTACATCAAGTCTTTTAAGATTTTGTAATGATTTACTCGAATTCTCTGCCCTCATGTTCACTAACTTTACTATATACTGCAATCCCCAAATGCGTAGCTTCTCCATGTTAGGCAATGTAACCTGTGAAATTCACTTAATGGTGTAAGCCATGACGCTAACATCATAATTCTTTATCTCGTATATAATAATTAATACTTTTCTGTACTAGTTTTTGTTCGAGTCAATTGTAACAAACATTTTTTTTTTTTGATTTATAATAAATGGCAGACTAATATTTTTGTTCTAATGTTAATAAATTGTTCTTTATAAAATAATTGGAGAAATTTTCATAATTTGTCTGATTCTTCGATTTACATGCACGGACTCGAAAACAAATATGGCAATATGCTCACGGAGAAAAGGAAGGATTTATACCTGGTTGAACAAAGTTCGAATAATGCCATCGTTGTTTGATTCAGATCTGAAGCTTTTAAAATTGCTTAAATCATTAAGCACGAGGCGTTTTAGTTTTGGGAACTCAAGCATATCGATAACTCCATTTCGTTTTGCATCCATTGCAACAACTTGTGTGAAGTGATGGAGGTTTGATGGAGTGTTTGCATCCATGACAATGTTTCTTGTCTCTGAAGTGTTTTCTTCTTCTTCTCTTCCAATGATTTCTTCCAGTGCTTTGCAATAATTAATTGATAAATATTCTAGGGCCACAAGTGAGTTAACTATAGAATGCGAAAATAAGTATCTTAAGCTCTCACAACGAAAAACATGGAGTTTTGTTAAATTTTGGAAGACGCAAATTCCTTTTGGAACCATCCTTGTAATGTTCACCAATTTTGGTAGTTTGATCAGCTCCAATTTTTTTAATCGACCAAGCATATTAATTTCTGCATTGTCATTAGTGCCCTTCATACCCTCAAAGTCAAACAATACTTGAAATGCTTCACAACAGATCACGCGAAGATATTCAAGACTTTGCAGTGACTGAATTGAATCAAATTCTGCAATGGCCAGAAATTCATCAAAAACATCACCTGAATAATTGTTAGTTTACGCAGAGATGTTGTTTGCATTTCCTTACCAATTAGCTTTACTATACAATCCAATCGAATAACATCTATACACTCCATGTTAGGAAAGTTGACCTGCGAAGTTCAATTAGTCGTAGTCAGCCAAAATTTATCCATTATGCTATCTATATTACTGGATTGCGGAAAGCTATGTCATTCTAGAGAAACTGTATCTATTCATTTGTATTACAAGACATATTCATTGTGCTGTTGACTAAATCATCACAATAGAAATAGATCTGAATTTCTCCTTTCATTATTACCTAATTATACCTCGAAATTTTAGCTCCAAAATCTACGTGTGTCTTTTTGTTTCTAAGTTTATATGGAAAATGATAGGAAAATCCCCAAGATTTCCTATTGTCTCAATTCATGATTAATACAACAGTTCTACAATAAATTTTTGTAATTTGTATGTAGTTGATTGAAATCATGAAAGCCATAATTATTAGCTGAAAATAAAAGACAATCTATAAGTTAGTTTTGTGCATGAGGTGCTATATCCGTATTGTTTCTCATAAATTTAGCCCATGTTTAGTTCAATTAAAAAGTTGATTAAAATCTAAGTCAAATTTAGTAAATACTTTTAACCACATTCCATGAGACCTACAAGTTATCAACCATACATTTATTAACTTTTATTTTAGTGGATAAGCTTTGGACGGTTGAAATTGAACCACTCCATTAAGTGGTTGAAATTGAACCATGATCAGATTTTCAAAGTTGTGGGCCTTTCAAAAGGAATCTTTTATAGATCTGCCTTATCAAAGAGATTTTTTTGTATGATTAATTAATTTTACATATCTACAGCAAATGTCTCTTAGTCAACTTTTCATACGGTAGATCTAGAAAATACTGTGGCTACTTTTAGAGTCATTTAACGAATTTTCTTTTTCCTTTTTCTTTTCTTTTTGGCTTAGACAACACATTAATTATTTATCTAGTTAATTTTCAATTAATAATTATTTGTAATAGATTATTTAAATGATTACAATTTAGACCAAATAATAGTCTTAACCGGTGGGGTCTTGGTTTGTCCATTCAATTAATTAATTTCCACTTGGAGAAAGAAAATGGATTGTTGATTACCTAGACACATTCTTCTAAAAGGGTAATTGGCGCAAAACGTCCATACCTTTCAACTTCATTGTGTAAAACGTCCTCACCTTACATTGGAATGGGGAGTGAAGAAGAAACACAAAAGTTTCATTGTGGTTTAATCCTTGTTGTCGACGAAGAAGGATAATAGACAAGTACTTCATATGCACATCTCTCTTCTTTAATCTTATCTAATATATTTCACGATGTGATAACTAGTATACTAAATTAGATTGTATTAAATTGACAAATCCCAAAAGATTGTCCCAATTCAAGACAATGGTGACTTGGGAGGTTGAATTATGTTCATAGGCTTATCTTATAGTTTGGCTTTTACTAAAAAAATTGGGGGCACTTTTGTCATTAATGCACCATGCCAAACACAAAAAGAGTTGGGGTTTAAATGACTATTATTATGTTAGTGAAAAAAAATCAAATGTCATAATTAAGGACATACTTGGACAAAACAACATGATGCATAAGTTTTTTTTTAAGTAAACAATTTTTGTATTAGTCAAAGTTGAAAATTTAAATAAGTTTTTATGTAAAAAGTAGGTTATCTAAAGATACTTGAAATAAATAATTATTTAAAGGTAATTATCAATTTTGAATTAGACTACACGATAAATTGAATATAATCAACATTATAAACTTATCGTTACTTTTATGTCCTGAACAATCCGCGTGTGATAATGGTCAAAACAAGAGTCGTGATTTAGCGTATTCGTTAACATTTTAGCGTAGTCGTGATTTGTAAATCGTGTTGTACCTAAAAACAGTAGTAACAGCTTAAAAGATAATGAATCAAAGATTCAAAATCCAATTGATTGTAACAAATTGCTTTTGAAAGCGCGTCTAGTTTTGACAATTACTAGTGGATGTTGGGTGAGTTTCAAGTTTAACTATTTATGTTGACAGCCTAACTTGGCACTTAGGCGCCACCGTATTTGATTGCAATAAATCACTTGATCACGTGCATGTGCATATATAATTGATTCATAAATGTTTGTAAATCATGAATCTGATTTGCATGTGACGGAGTAGGTTAAAGACCACAAAACATAAATTTATATAGTCTTTATGTCTGCAACACGCATTCTCATACATAAACCTAGTCTATTTTAATTAAATAGTCAGGACTCGTTTGGTATAACTTTTGAAAAGTCAAAATGAATTTTTGAGATCCAGAAGTTATTTTCTGACCCGTTTAATTAATTTTATGAAAGCGCTTCTTTTAATTCGAAGGCTTTTAGAGTAAAATAGGCAAATGCGACTTCATCTAAAAGTACTTTTGAGATAAAACTCTCTTTGAAAAATTATTTTTCAAACGAAAATAAAGTTGACTTCCTCTAAAAACTCTCTACCAGAAAGTAAAAAGCAAAGTCATGTCAAATGAGTCTTAATATATGCACAGTTTTCATTGGTAGCGACGAGATTTGAGACCCAAATATTATGTTTTGATGATTTTTAACAATTTAAACTTTTAGATGAAACGATTTAACATCAAACGAATAGAAAAGAACTTTTAGACGCCTACATAACACGAAAGACAACACAAATTTTTCTTTGAAAAGTAATCATCGTTGATTCACTTAATAAGCACGTTTGTCTTAACTATTGAAACTTTAATGTGAATTTGTCTTTTAACTATTGAAACTTTAATGTGAAGATGCCCTAGCGTGACAAGGGTCCATATTTTCGGCCTCATTTTGGGGCCTAATATAACCCTTTTTCTACCTATAAAAAATAAAAAATAAAAATACACTCGAGTATCAGCAGGAATCTTGCAAAAGGACATCAATACTTTTGAACAATAGCCGTAATCATGGGTCCATCGTTCCCCAATTTTAGGTTTCATAATAATCTACAATAAATTTTGATTGTCATGATCAAATAAAGACAAATCACAAATCAAAGTTCAAATTTCATCTAGATAAATCTGCAAGTAGTACAACATGTACACATATTGTTAAGTTAAAATGTAAACATAGTAACATTGCAAATAACTAATACAACTAAAAAGTCAATTAAAATTAATTTTTTGATCGTTATTTTACTATTACAATCGTCATTTTTAAATTTTTCTCTCACAAGTAAGATCCATTTTATCTCCAACGATAAAAAAATCAATTAACAAAATCTCTACTAAACAAGTACTAAGCTACTTGTACATATTTGTTTTCACATTTGTTAACAGATGTGGTGGTGAAATGCATTTGGTCCTTGATTTGAATAAGTAAATTCAATTCAAGAGCCAAGATACATGCCAATTCAGGATCTATCAAAACAATATGTGAAAATAAATATAGAAGTAGCATGATTTTGTTAAAATTTGGTGTCCATCTTAAAAAAGTCAACATTGTTAAGAGGAGTATGTGAGATTTTTATCCCTTGACATGCCCTTGTAAGATGGTAGCTCGTTTGAGCAGACCAATCTTACAATCCGTTGCTCATTAATTGAGACTTATAATCGGATCGAATCGCTTGTTGGAGCTTAATGAGCTCCGATACCATGTTAAAACTTGGGGTCCATCTTAATAAGATCAACATTTTTAAGTGGAGAAACCCAATATCTTTATAAATTGGTATTTATTTCGGTATTAAATCGATATAGGATAACACATCCCTTAATAGGCCTACTCAAGATAGTTGCTCATTTGAACAGACCAATCTTGAAATTCATGGGGTGGCTCTGATACTATGTTAGCACTTGGGGTCCATCTTAATAAAGTCAACCTTGTTAAGTAGAGAAGTCCATGATCTTTTTAAGTTGATCAATATTTCGATATTAAACCGATTTGGAATTTTTATCCCTTAACATATTCTTGCAAATATGCCATCAAAATTGTGATGCTTGGAGGATTATTGTCGAGTTTTTTATCATATGAGTAGAAATAGAGGAAAAAGTGACTCGCGGTCGAGAAAGAAAGAGATTTTTATATAGTTAAACGTACCAAGCACAAGCAATTGGACAAAAATTCAAGGTTATGCTTCGCATTACTTTTATAGCTCATTGTATATGCCAGTAACTAGAAGTTGATTATTAGTTAATGAAAGTTAAAATTTTACAGCCATACAGATTGAAAAAAGTGTTGTATTTGTGATAAAGCAATATACGTGAAATGTCTTTTTTAAATTTACACTCTTACACAGTCACGCGGCTCTCCCAATTCCATAGGCAAAAAGACCTACCTTAACCCAAATCTTTCCCCAGATTTCCTCCACATCTCCGCATGTTTTTCCGATTTCCAATCACACTTTCCAATTTCCAACAGAAGCACAAGTGTTATTTAAGAATCGTTTGAATAATGGTTGATTTGTAAAAACAAATTTATAAAGTTTGCAAAAATTAAAAGAACACGAGACAAAGCGATATGTTTTTATCCTAAAATAGGGCCCGGATGTTCAGTCGTTAGACTTAGTCACCCATTGAACATCTACCACGAGATTGTGCTGAAGATCCACTAATATCAACCAAGACTTAGTACAAATGTTCGAAGAAATCGAAGATTTTTTCAGTATTTCTCTAGCCTCTCTATTTACAAGATCTATAACCTACACACGTTACAATCTCAAAGATTGCACTAAGCACTCATTGATTCACAAAGAAAAAGAGATTGCACTTCACAAAGAATGATTACAGAACTTTTCAAGTAAAAACTCTAGCACTCAGAAGACGAAGACGAAAGACCCCAGAAGTCTCGCTCACACTAGGTCAAAGAAAATGCGTGACCAAGTATATAAATGTCCAGCCCAAAGGTCATGATCCAAGGGTCAAGATGTTGCCACGTTGACGGCAAATATTAACCCTTAAAGAGAGGCATAAGGTGCTATTTCAAGAAGCACGATTTTACTAAATCTTGCAGTTTATCAAAATAGAACCAGCCCAATTGGACGGTCCAATTGGCCAAGAATGATAGTGAGGCAGCCCAAAAACTTTAATAGCCTCCACCTTGCTGAATTAATTCTTGGCCTCTATTAAATTGGAGAGTTATCTCATGGTTTCATTTGCTCTCACAACCTATAAAAAGAAAAAGGATTAAGTCGGTGCAATTCTGCAAATAATAATGCTTAGATTTTCAAAATATCACTTCTTTTCAAGTGATGTTCAAAATCTTCAAGCAGTTCTTGAATTTATTTAAAGGCAGTACCTTAGTTCCCAGATCAGAAGGATTGAATTCTGTAGGAATTTTTACCAACTTGATCAGATCTTTTTCAACGAGATTTCGTACAAAATGAAATTTTCTATCTACATGTTTGGTCCTATCATGATATACTGAATTTTTACTAAGGTGAATTGCACTTTGATTATCTGTATAAATAACAACAGAATCATTTTGAAAACCAATTTCATTCAATAGACCTTTTAACCAGACACTTTCTTTTACTGCATCACAGGCAGCAATATATTTAGCTTCAGTTGAAGACAATGCAACTAATTTTTGAAGCTGAGACTTCCAGCTGATGCAACCATCACACAAAGTAAAGATGTAAGCAAAAGTATACCTTCTTTTATCTAAATCACCAACAAAGTCAGAGTTTGTATACCCCTTTAATATTATCCCCTTATTACTTCTTTTGAACATTAAACCTAAATCACATGAACCTTTTAAGTATTTCAACATCCATCTCATTGTTTCAACATCCATTTCATAGCAAGTCAATGAGTTTCACCAGGATTGGCCATAAATCTACTCAAGATACTAATACTATGGGCTAAATCAGGTCTTGTGCAGACCATAAGATACATAATGGAACCTACTGCATTAGCATACGATACCTTTTCTATTCTTTTAAATTCATCATCAGTTTTAGGTGATTGCTCACTGGACAATTTAAAACGATTTGCAATAGGAAGTGAAACAGGTTTACATTCAAGCATAGACAATTTTTCAAGAATCTTTTTCACACAATAACCTTGTTTTAACATTAATATGCAATTATTTCTATCCCTTTCTATCTTCATTCCTAAAATTCTCCTAGTTTGTCCTAAATCTTTCATTTCAAATTCAGATTTTAACTTTGCTTTAACAGAGTCAATTTCAGTTCTATCATAACAAGCAAGTAACATATCATCTACATATAATAGCAGATAAATGGATTCAGACCCACCTAAACCTTATAGAAGAGACAAGAATCATAATTGCTTTTCATAAAACCTAAAGTCCATACAAAAGAATTAAATTCCAAATATCATTGCCTGAGGGCTTGTTTAAGCCCATATATGTTCTTCACGACATTTTTTCCTTCATTTAATGTAATAATTTAAAGTATTTTCACACCCATTTTCCAGTTACTGTTACTATGTGGACTACGTAGAAGGCGGGAAGAAGGGTTCAGTTGGGTGAGGACGATTTTACCCCTGTTGACCAGCAAGAAATTGAGTCCCTCTCTTTAATTAACGGCAGAAGTGACGGGAGTTGGACGGAAGGACTTTCGTCGCAATGAAAGGTTGATTTGAGGGCAAAAATGTCAAAAAATGAAAGGTGAGGACGTTTTACACAATGAAGTTGAAAGGTAGGGACGTTTTGCGCCAATTACCCCTTCTAAAATGCACGCATATGTTTCGCATAAATTTGCATATGCTCTATGTTTTTTCGAAACACATTGCGTATAGAATATGCGTGGGATAATGTGGTCAACACATTTCGTTAACTGCATACACATGCTTAAAATTCAAATTGGCACACATTTGTGTAAAAAATTGTATCAAAATTAGCCTAACAAAGTCCAACCCTTTTTTATAATTTAAATAAAAGGTAAATTGAGCCAACAAACATCAATTAATCCAAATCTATAAGGACTATTAAAAAAAAAAACAAACAAAATTTTCGTATAATTAAAAGTATCTAAAAAGAATCCCATCCACCTCCTTCGAATTTCCTCTAATTTTACTGGCAAGTGGTGCTAGTGATTCACAATCTTGAATTGTTGATTATTGTAATTTTGAGGAAGATGTTGATAATGATATCTCATCATCTACAGGAAGTAATAGAAATTCTTGATTTGGAATGAAGGAGCCAAATAAAGATGATTTTGCATTGAATAATACGAAAAATGACTTGAATAAGGAAGATGAGATTAAATTGAAATCAATAAAGAATTAGATATGATATATGATTTTTTAAAGTTGGTATTTGTGTCTAATCTAATAACAAGAATTGATTGCCACATAATTATAGTATTTATGATTTTGAGTAATTTTTTTTTGTTAAAAATATTTATAAAGTTCAAATAATGCATTATTTTATTTATTTATGAGTTTAGAACATTTAAAAAATATTAAAAATTAAAAAAAAAAGTGTAATTATTTATTCATGCTTGTAATGCTTGATGCTCAACAATAATGAATTGCCACGCATTATGCATTTCAACATCTTGATCATTTGTTTTCATAATTTAATGTGAAAATGAATTGTAGTCTTACTCAAAAATTATATCAAAGTGGCTGAGTTTATCTGTTAGTATCATTAGTGCATTCCTCCATGTCAGGTAGGAAAATGCAGGCAATCTAAACCAGCCACGTGGTGCATTTAGACGTCAAAATTGACCAGTATTAGCTCCACCCGGTCCACTTTGGAAAACAATTTTTCATTGCATGTTCGGTAGAGCCTATTTTTGTCTACCACTTCCAAGAAAAAAAATCATTTTTAATCACATTTTTATAATAAATTATTTTATATGTAAATCCAAAATTTTTTCAATCACATTTTCTAAAAAAATTACTATTCCAAAAATTATTTTTCCGAAAAAACCTTTTGTAATAGACATCAAACAGGGCGTGTATAGAGAGGACTAAATAGGAAATCAAGACTAGTTTACAATGTGTAATACTGCATAACAAATATGTCCAAAGACGAAACAAGTTCAATACCAAAAGAAGATCAAACTCTAACATCTACTCATTCCATCCTTTCTAAGGCAGTCCGACTATACCCTCTTACCCCATGATCCCCATCAAGCCCTTAAAGTTTGTTTATCGTTAGCATAAGTACCCTCGCACAAAATTTAATCCAGCATTATTAGAATTGAAGTAGTAGGGAACAGAAAATAATTGAATACATCAGATATGGGTAGGCTAAAGAGAACCTAATGGTTTTCTGAATGTAATATAGCATCAGATGACAAAAGGGGCTTCGTTTAATAGCAAATTTTTTCAAAACTGATACTAGAGAAGGAAAAAAAAAAAAAAAAAACTTCTTAAGGTTTTTTGTTCAATTTTGTGGCAAATGACAACAATGCCTTTGTCATTCTTAGACCCAATGTTTAACTGGTCCTCGGCGCTCCTGCTAAAAGTTTGCGAGAGAGGGAGTACCTTGGTTTCTCATTTCCTCCTGTGCACGCTTCATTTCCTCCGTATCTGTGCAGCATATAAAACAGGAACAATGTTGTTCTGAGTGATTCATATCCTCTTTGAATCCTCATTGACAAAAACAAAGAATGATTCAGAGTTCGGTCAATGTCCCCCACAGCCTATACCAGATGTTAGTATTCCCAGTGTGGACACTAGTAACCATAACTTTTTTACAATTTAGTGTCAAAAAGAG